TAATACATTCCCTGTATAGTTAACTACAAAAAAAGATTAGATTGGCATTCATCATTTCAGCATTAGGGATGTAAAGAATATTTGCACATTTTCTCATCCTTGGGAAAAAACGGTGTCTGAAGATGTCAAAGACACCCCAGCGGAAAAAACTGCCAACTTCTGCAAGGTTTTTCATTGCTGAGCAAAAATAGTGAAAAGACCAGCAATGGGGTATGGTTTTTATTTTCCTTTGTTTTTGTGTTCTGCATAAAATGTATTTTTGTAACACAACAATTTGGGATTGAGATCCCGTGTTTTTTGGGTGGATGGGAAGGGCCACAGATGGGAAGGGCCCACTGTACATATATTTTGGATTTCAAGGGCTTTGGCAGGACCCACAGTCTTTGGTTATTTTACTTCTAAAGCACCATGCACATCAGTGGTGCTACATCAATAAACAAGAATAATCATAGTAGTAGCAGTGTACTAATAGTAACAACAACAATAGCACCAACAACAATGAATTTGAGAAGAACACTGTTTTAAAAGATGTTGTTAATGAACACAACAGTTCAACACTGAGGAAAAGCTGATAAACTTAAATCATGCAAAGGCAAAATGGCCTTTAAGGTAGAAATATGGGCAAGGTAATTGTTGATCCTTATGCCCCCTCCACTTCATTCTGCCACCGTAATACATGAGGAATTACAGAGAGGTGCAAGGCAAATGAGACATACTTTCAAGTTTATTAAAAGAACATTTTGCAAAGTACCACATCTTGACATATCTTCCTGAGGAGCTTCAAATAGCCTTCCTTCAGCCAGGAAAGTTTGTGGATTGTATTGCCAGGGTGGGATGGGAGAACATGGAATAAATCAAACAAGTGTTAAGTGAGAGATGAAGTGCCTTTGTATCTCATTTAATTAATACCTTGATGGAACACACACACACACACACACACACCCTGTTTTCAAATATTAAGCAGAAAGCAACACAAAAGAATGGGCTTGACCTTTAGGGCTTTCTTTATAAAGTATAGAAGACAACATCAGAGTTGTTCATTTTCACTCCATTAATTACTTTTTTTTTTGCTCTCATCACAACATCAGATCCAGGTTTCTCTTTCTTTACTGGAGATTGTGAATAAAAAAACCCAACATAACATGTTCATTTTTTAAAAAGCACTTATTACTTCCCCCCTCCCAGGGTAACACAACCCCAGTTCCTAAATGAGCCAAGAGGGAAAGCGTAGTCCTACCAATGTCAAATAGCATCCTTATCCAATAAGCATGTTGTTAAGAAAGTCTGTCTAAGAAAATCCAGCTTAGACTAAGCAATATACCAGCTGGCAAGCACATTAATACTGCAAATTACCCTGATTTAGGTATACAGATAGCTCCGTCCGCACACAGCTGGCTTCCCAGGTGGTTAGAGGCACATTTTATCTCTATTCCATTTTTCCCCTTTACGCAAGCACTTTGCTTTTCCTTCCCTTTGTGGAGTAATGCAAACACCTCCAGGTAAAGAATTGCAATATCCCTAAAGGAAAGGAGATCATGGGCTGCGCAGCAAGCAGAAATTGGCTTTTTGGTGGTGGCTCCTCCTAAAAGACGTTCGGGAAGGCACATTCTCACAAAGGTATGGCTTGAAGCGACAATGCTTTCTTTTCAGCTCCACATTATGTTCCTGTTTTGAGGCATTTTAGTTGGAGACATGCCTTACCAGGCAATGTATTTTAAGTCGCAAGCTAAAGGAATTTCCCGTTGAACCCAAATTGGCCCTGAGGAGAAACAGTTTTTTTGCCTTCTCTGCACTGCTTTCCCCTTGAGTTGCTACACCTTAGCTTGCAACTCAAGAGGAGTTCAAAAGGGGGTGTCTGAGGGGGTCTCCCTCAGAAGGGACCAGACCAGGGTGACTCAGAAGTTAGGTCAGATCCTAGTTTATGACAAATCAATAAACTTGCTGTTGTTGAAATGTATATATTTTTGTCATGTCTTCCTTTGTTGCCTTGTCAGCTGTCTTCCTTGGTTCTGAAGTCTCTTTCCCATTCTGTTCGTAAGACTCCACTCTTAATTAGCAGAGTCTTAAGATGCACTGAAATTAATGGATGTATCTATGATTTTTAAGCTGCAACCCTATGCACAGCTACTGGGGATCGGGAAGTAAATTCAATGGATTACGACTTGCTTTCAAGTAAATATGTATGGAATGGATTTGCAAGTCCCACTGAAATCAGCAGAACTTACAGTGTGATCCTAAGCACGGTTACATAAGAGAAGCCACCAGAATTAGCCTGTACATAGAATTTTACTTTCTACATAGCAGATGTATATAGAATTCAATGGAAATTCAAGACTGGCTGTTTACAAACTCATTAGCTTATTCTGAAGTCCAAAATGAGATTACCGAATTTGCTCTTAGCTCACCAACCCTAGCTTTTTGGGGAGTAACAATCCAGGAGCATAGACATTATACATTGCTTCTTTAGCCCTATCTCACCCAAAGATATGGTTCTGTGTCCCAGAATAATCCAGTATAATACTGAACAAGCACATTCTACTAGCCACCTAAAATTATTGCTCCAAGAAGTCGATATTTAACTAGCCCTTGTTTTGGAGAAGAGTCGCAGAAAGTTCTTATCCTGAACCCATGGATAATTCACAAAACTTTCCCCCTCTTCCCATTCTGCCACCAATCCACACACAAACACACAAGCACACACACACCAAGCATTTTGACTACAGCTTTTTCTAGGGCAAAAAACTCCATTCAGACAAATACTCTCATTCGAGGCCATCGCTTTCTCTCTCCCACAAAAGCAATATAAAACAACTCCCCACTTTTTCTCTCCAGCACTGTTTTAATAGAACATAAAGCCCCATGCTTGGTTCCTTATAAAACAATTCTTTCCTGCGCACACAACCGAGGAGCATGTATGCGCCAAACAATTTAGCTATCAAATGAAAGCTTACTCATAATGAAAGTGTTTTCAGAAACATACTATGAGATTTCCCCCCCTAAACAGAAACAATTAAGCATTCACTGTAATTTTCATCTGCTTTCTCTCCCCGATTTCTAAAGCCATGCGCTCTGCTTGGATATTAGCCCCCAAATGCTCATCAAAAGACTTTAAGTGGGGGGAAGAAGGATTTAGCCACACAACTCCCATTAGAGTCCATGGGAGCAATTAAAATCTGCAGTGAAAAAATAAAGCTGCATTGCAGGAAAATTTAAGAGTTGAAAGACTTTCTGTCTTAAATACATAGTCTTTCATGTTACTGCAAATTTCTACCAACGTACTTTTTTTTTTGAATGTGCTCTTTCATACTCATCTGAAAAGCACAGGAATGTGGTCAGACCCAACCACAGAACAACAATGTCTCATGGACACATACATACATACATACATGCTGCAGAATTGGAAATGGAGCTGAATAAACATCCTTTAGGATTCCTGAATGCAGATGGATTCTTTTGACAGCTGACCATGTGGAATGCTTGGTAGAAATGCCAGCAATCTGATACAAACAAACCAGGTCATCTCTACCTAAGTGGCAAAATACAGTTTTATACAGGTACACAGAGATGTGTCAAGAGTTTTTTAAAGAATGGAAGAAGTAATTTTTTCAAAACTTCAGACTTTTAACTTGTAAACCTCTGGGGATGGAAGGACAATGATGCTTTTGATGGTATACATGCTCTATACAACAAATACTTTGGATGGATACATTGCTGTGTTTTGTTAATAGCTTGTTAATCACTTGCAGGAATATTTGCGGGTGCTAAAATGAAAGTTGTTGGGTACACACTCATTCTGCATGGATACCTTTTGTCAACAGCATGTGTTCCCCCCCCTAAATAAAGCAATTGTCCCACCACTAATTTCAGCAGGTCTTGCATATGCCTATGCTGATAATACCTTGAAAGGATTAGGAGGAAAAATGCTTGAAGCAATTTCATTTGGAAGATCTTGAGATAATAAAAATCATAGGTTTTGTAGTAATATATCCTTATTGGTCTATTGGTCCCACCCTGGCAAAATGTAGCTATGAATACATTTGCACATTATTATTGTAAATGAGGCAATACACTACTTGAACACTTCCATTTGGGTTCAGTAGAAGTGGCCAAAAACCCCAAAACTGTGAACTTTCCACCTGTGGTCTATGTTCTGTCATGTGTTTACTAGGAACTCTGGCTTCTTTCACAATTTTAAGCTGAATTATGTGTTGTTTTGTTTTCCATTATTACAGATCAAAACCTAATTTTTACAAAATGCATCTCTTTCACAGGATTTCCCCATGGATAAAAAGCCCAAACTGCCAAGTATTGTATCAGTGGCAAAAAGTGGAAAATAAAAAGTCTTCATCAACAACAAAATGTATACTAAAACTGTCAATGCTTTTTGATGGGTGAATTCATTTATTTTCTAGCAATATTGTCATGCTGGGAAAATTATATTGTGTGCGTAAACCAACAGAGCTATCAAATGTGTGTGTCATAAAAAGAGTAGAAGGCTTAATGTCTCTTAATATGCAGTGCTGTTCTTTCATGGAGCATTGCTGAAATAATCAGCAATGGCTTTTCTCTTGAATTGGAGGCTCCCGGTTGCATCATGAGGAAATCACTGAAGAAGGAAGGATAAATTTACACATAGACTCACATAGACTTTCCTCTGAAGTGGACGATCCCGCATCCAAGACCTATGACACCTAAGGAG